TTTAAATAAAATTTTTAACGAAAAACTTTTTTCTTTTATTATTATTATTATTATTCACCTTTAAACAATTCATTATTATTATTATTAATTATTTAAAAAAAAAAAAAAAAAAAAGAAAACTTCAAATTATTAAATTGGAACAGGGTTTATTAAAATCGTTTAAATTTTCATCGATTTTTTTTTTTCTTTTCCACACATTTAAAAACCAATGAAAATTTTTTGTGTGTGTGTGTAAAACCGGAAATAATATTTAAATTAGTTAATTTTTTTTTTTTTTTTTTGGTCTTACTTTGCCCTTTTAATAAACTGTTCAGTCATTATTAGTTTTTTTTTTTTTTCTCTCTCTTCAAAACTAACAAAGTGAATAAGGTGAGTTCGTTTTTTTTCTTTTTTTTCCCCCAAAAAATTTATTTTATTTTGTTTAACCGTTCGGATAATAATAATAATAATAATAATAACTTTTTTACAATTTTTTAAACAAAAAAGTTTTTATTTAAACAAACAAACAAAAATTTTTTTTATTTTTCTAGTTTTAAGTTTTAAATGAAAGAGAAAAAAAAAATTTAATAAAATGGCTGCCGTATTAAAAACAATGTATAATTTATATTATACTCTTTTTTACGAAGTTAGCGGTAAGTAAATAAATAAATAAATAAATAATAATAATAATAAATAAATAAATAAATAAATATAAGAAAAAAATATTTTTTTTTAGACCCTAGAACAAGCAATTGGATATTGGTTGGTTCTCCATTACCCGTAATAGCACTCATAAGTTTTTATGTTTATTTTGTTCAGAAAATTGGTATAGAATATATGAAAGATAAAAAACCATATAACGTTGATAGAGTTATACAAGTTTATAATGCCGTACAAGTTATTTTATGTTTTTGGTTTTCCGTTGAAGTAAGTTAATTTAAACATAAAAAATTCTTAACTTTTTTTTTTTTTTTAAAGTGTCTTATTATTTATTTTTCAATTTAACAGTTATTTTATTTATTTAAATTTTGACATTAATAATAATAATAATTATTTATATTTAATTCTATTGGGTGTTTCATTTTGTTTTCACATCGTGATTATACATACATGTATGTAATTAATTATTATTATTGTCACTTTGTAATGACGTAATATAAAATAATAATAATAATAAACGATTGGGGTGGGGGAGGGGGCTCGGGGGGTAAAATAATAAAATTTTTATATATTATTTTCCAGGCATTCATTAATTGTTACGGTCCTACTGGACTTTACAGCTGGAAATGTGAGCCCGTTGATTATTCCTATTCTCCAAATGCAATGAAAGTAGCCAGATTTGTTTATGGATATTATTTAATTAAAATTGTCGACTTATTAGACACGGTAACCTTTTTTTTTTTTTTTTTTAATTAAATTTGTGCGAGTGTGTGTGTGTTGCGACAGTTAATTATTATTATTATTTTTTTTAACGTTAATGAAAAAATTATTATTATTATTATTTTGAAGGTTTTTTTTGTTTTGAGAAAAAAAAATTCACAAATAACTTTTCTACACATATATCATCATGCTGGTATGGTTCTTCTCGGTTATGTTGGAACAAAATTTTTACCAGGTTAATGTTTTAAATAAAATAAAATTTTACATTAAAAAAAAAAAAAAAAAATATTAAATTGATTGATTGATTGATTTTTTAGGAGGGCATGGAGTTTTCTTGGGAATGATTAACTGTATCGTACATTCAGTTATGTACAGTTATTATTTTATAACAAATTACAATCCGGAATACAAAAAGAAAATTTGGTGGAAGAAACACATAACACAAATGCAAATAGTAAAAATATTTAAATAAATAAAAGTTTGTAAAATTTCCCTCATCGAATAACATCACATAAATTATTATTATTATTTTTTTTTTTTTACAGTTGCAATTTATGGCAATTATTTTTCATTTTACAAAAATATTATTTCAAGAAAATTGTAATTATCCTAAATGGGCTGTTTGTTTATTCCTTCCACAAAATTTCTTTATGCTTCTTCTTTTTTTGGATTTTTACAAAAAGGCATATCTATCACCGAAAAAACCAATAACACCATCTTCTAAAGTCGAAGAAGAATCAAGTTCTTTTCAAATAGCAGATAAAGAAAAAGCTTTTTAGAAAAAGTTTTATAATTTTTTTACAATTATAAATATAAAAATAACATTTAAAAAAAAAAAAAAAAAAACAAAAAAACTTTACTTTTAACCTTAAAGGTTTCTTTTTCTTTCAGTTAAAGGAAGGACTGATAATTAGGTTAGTATTACCTTATAGTAGTTTAAAAATGCAGTTAAATGCTGTGTAATAATAATATTCCATAACAACTTAATCGTTTAATTAATTATTTTAATGCCATTTTCTTTTTAAAAATATTTTACTCGAGATTAATATTAAAAAAACATTGATTGCCTTGTAATCTTGAAAATTAATTTGTTTAATAGAGTTTTTGTCAAAGTTTAATTCATTAATAATTGAATCATTTCATCGATAAGTTTTGTTGAATAATTAATTCAATGTAAATCTTATTATTTATAAATTACACAATTTTAAGTATTAAATCAAAACTTAATTAAGAGATTTCATGGCAAATTTTTGTTTTGTTTTTAATCTATAACTGCCTTAAATTTTATATGTAAATAATAAAATTATAAAAAAAAAAGTTACCATCATTATTTATTTACTTACATTTCTGGCTTATTGTCATTATTATTATTATTAATAAAAATTTATAGATTTCAATAAAAAATACAAACTTACAAAAAAAAAAAAAATGGAGTAAAAATTAGTTTTAGTTTTTTTTTTTTTTAATTCATTGAGGTTATCAACCTCTTAAATA